GGTCGGATAACAGGCGGGGTCAGACGTCTGACCCCGCCCTTAACTCTAAAATTAACCAACCCCAGATGCTAAATACTAAAATTAACCACGCCCAATTTTTTAAGCCTCCTATTAAACTTCCCTACAAGCCATGACCACACCCATTGGACGTCCGACCCCGTCTGGTATCCTAATTCGCAGTCTGCAGCCGGGTGTACTTGAAGCAAACTGGTGAAAGTGAAAGTGAAACTTAAACTGTCTGCTGAGCTCTTAACACTACTTCTTACTAAGTGAAGTCCTTTTCAGATACTAAATACTTTGAGGAAATGTATTTTCAAATACCAAGTAAACTGCATCATGCCCCCTCCCCCCCACACACACACTGAAATGGGCGGGACAGAAGTGTAAGGTGGTTCTTAAAGAGACAGAGGCCAATTTCAAGGCATTTAGAAGAGGAAGTGATGAGAAGATAAGTTTTTTTTTCTATATAAACATAAAAACAGCATTTAATAACAACTAAAGGTGACATAGAGGCTTTATTATAGTATAGTATTTAAATATATGCCTGAGAAACACATAATRTTGGCCCYTTAATGTACACACTACATTATTACCTACAAGTAGGTTTGTAGTATCACTTCCTCATAGATGTGATTGACCTGGCAAGTGTGTCCATTTCTCATGACCGGTGGTAACTGTGAACTACCCTCTGCAGGATGTCTCATTCTGTCGTGGGCCTCCGCACTCAGCAGGGGCACTGGCACCCAGGTGGTCTCATTAAACAGAGCGTAGTTCACCTTGTAGCGCTTCTTGTCCACTCTCAGCATGTTCTGGAAGCGCTGGCCCCAGCGGATGTCTGCTGGGGTGTAGGACGTTCTAGTCTGGTGGAGCATTCCTGTGGAGTCTCCGGTGTAGGTGAAAGAGACCACCAGCTCAAAGTTCTCCTCCAGCAAGTCATCGGGGCCCAGACTGTATAAGGGACTCCCCGGCTCAAGCTTGTGAATAATTGTGGTCGGGGTGGCGAGGACGATGTCCCGGTTCTGGATGTCCAAGTCCTGGTATGAAATCACAACAGAGCCGATTGGCTGCCTCATGTAGCGGACCAATTGGGCCCGGGCAACCCCTTCAAGAATGTGATTTCCTCTGAAGTCCCCAAGGCGCCACGACAGACACAGGACCCCATTTCGCAGGTTCACCACAGCGCACCTGCTGAAACCCACGGTCTGAGCCCTCTTACGAGCACAGGCCATCTTAGCCACAACAATGCCAATGACAATGGTGTCAAGAAAACAGCTAATAACATCTTGAATCGTCCAAACAACTATAGCCACCATGCAGTTCTCTGTTATTCCCCTGAAGCCGTAACCAATAGTTGCTTGGGTCTCCAATGAAAATAAAAACGCTCCAGTGAAGCCACGCACGTTTTCCATACAGAGCTTCTCTTCTGGGTTTTTAAAATCTCCATTTACATGGGCGATAAGCCAATAAATGAGACCAAAAACAAGCCAAGAGCAGATGTAAGAAAGGGAAAAGACGAGGAGCATTATCCTCCAGCGGACTTCTACAAGAGTGGTGAAGATGTCCATCAAATATGGGCTCCAGTCTCTGGTGGCCCTCTGGAACGTCACCAGAAATGTGCCATCTTTCTGCATGTAGCGAAGCCCTCGCCATTCTTTTCTAGTCTGTTTGCCCAGTGTGTGAACGGTGGTGGAGAAGGTGTCAATGACCCCCTCTCCTCTTTCAGTGCTCATTTTGATGAAGACAACCTTTCAGTCTCCTGTAGAAAAGCAGAAAGAAGACAAAAATGCACATCAGGAGATTAAGTTGCAGTAAACATGGACAAGTTCTCAAAAAAAATGGTCACACTTTATAAAAACTACACATTACTTAACCTTCCTTAATCTTTAATAAATGGTCTATTAACCTTGAAAACATCATTAATTAAAGATAATTCATACTTAATAAGCTATAAAGTAACATATTATTTAATACTTTACTCATGAGGGCTAATTATTTCCAAAACCAACATACTACTTTTTTATTCATGCTTAATGCCTCGTGAATTAACTATTCTATTTACTGTGTGTACAGTATATATGTAAATAATCATATAAATGTCCTTTCACACAGTGTGTTAGACATGAATCAAGGGTTAGAGAATGTTTGAATTGACTAACCCCTGCTGTGCATCAATAATTTAAGCAGTTGTTGTCTTTTTTGTGAACCTTTAGAAAGTGAAAGTATTTCTGATTTTTAAGTATTTGTTAATGTAGATGAAACCCTGAATGGACACAAGTTCTTTTTTAACCCATAAACATTCTCTAAACATTAATTCATAAAACAAGTGCACAATTAAATTTCATATTTTGAGTGCCAGATTAAATGTGAAATTCATTTTCCAAAGGTTTCCAATACATAYAAAGTCTTGAATGCTTAAATAAAAGTTTTATACAAGTGATTTTTGCATTTTTGACCTYGACCTTCTGACAAGATTAACTAAGGCCTTGGGTCAAAATTATTTTCCAATAATACAAAACCTCGTTTTCAATCACTTTGGCTTATCTCTGATTTTAAATGTGACGCAGTAAAACAACAACAAAGGAGAACATTGAGTATTTCTCTGCATGGAAAGTCATTTATCTCAGAGAATAATAAAAGGTCACAGAAATTTTCCTAATTCTTGTTAAGAACTACAAAGTCACAGTAATTAGGCAGTTACTAATCCTCACGACAGTAAATTATTAGCCTGCAACCACTCGTAACAGCTTTCTCCTCCAAATGTCACCTGAAGTGTCAAACTTTAACCACCCTGTCTTTTTTCCAGGAAAACAACCATGAGCCACAACATGAGTATTAAATTCTCACACTGTGCTTCAGTAATGTGACAGCTGCTTCAGCTGCAACTTCTCACAGGTTCACTATCGACTCATGTTAAAGTGTAGAATAGACTCTTTCACCGATCAATAGTAGTAAGGCACGTCTTTTCCTTTTTATAACTTAAYTGAACTGGGTGGGAACATGTGGCTAATATTTATCTCAGTTTATAATGAATGGTTTATCGCGAGTTCTAATTTTACACCTACTGTGGTTTTATTATATAACCAAACAACTGGAAGCAGAAAACTATCTGATTGAAGCACAACAGTGTCAATATGTTCTGGTCGGTCCACCTGCTCTTAAAGTGGACAAGTAACTAATGAAAGTAAGTCCTGGGACAAAAAAAAGGCTCTAAATATGTATTGTGRAAACATGGCAACAGATCTTTGGCCACTTTAAATCAGCTCCTGATTTGTCTTTTTATGGCTTCTCAAAACAAGATAAGATAAAGCAAAAGCAATAATCAGAATTTTAAGTATTGCACAAATGTATAATTGCAAATGATCCAGAAATAAAATTTACAAAAAAAAAAAAAAAAGGAATAAACAATTTAAACAAAATTTCAGTTTCGGTGAGAGCAAGTACCAATGGACAAGGACAAAGGAGTCGAAGAAAAGGGTCAGCTGGAAACTCTTGTCCTGGAGTCTGAATAACACACAGAACCAAAACATACTTATTTACTTTTTCTTTTTTTAGTCATTTTGCTGAGTTTTGGATGGAAAAACAAAAAGATGTTTTATTTTATTTTATTTTATTTTTTTTGCACAAGCAAAAAGTAAGTTTGAGATTCAATCTCAGCCTCATAATATCTTTAAAATTTTCTAATTAAGACTGCAGGAAACTTGTCAGCTCGTGTTGTTTATAATGCAATCATGCATTTTTTTATGGGTCTACTAGGAATTAAGGGGCTGCAGCTGCAAATTAGCTTATGCTATAATTTTGTACAGTGCACCAAACGGAGACATTTATGTTTGAGCTGYACACTGTTCCTTTTTAAATAATGTTTGAAATTGCATCAAAAACAGCAAGGATTTTTATAATACCAACAAGAAAAAAAAAGATTATTCTGTTAACAATTGTGTTAACAAAGTTTCCTTTAATTTCCTTAAACTACAACAAATATTTCCATGCTCTACTTACTTTCAGAGCAGATATTAGACTYGGTCAGGTGTCACAAATGTCCATAAGTTCCTCTGGGCGTTCGACCATGTGCAGCCCAACTTAAAGTAACCTTCTAATGGTTGAAGAAAAAGACATTGTTGGGGGCCGGACTGGTCCGAGGCCAAGTCCCATTTTGTCCTGATATTACAGCAATCATTTCCTCCTRAAACCTCATTGGACAATATGGAAAGATTTATGACTTGTGAAATATTTTAGAGGTTCCTCAAGACAAAACTGAATGCCCTCTGTTYGTCCCCAGGTGATGCAATGAGATTTTAACAATCCACGAGTTAACAAAATACATCGATCATTCAGACATTTATTTTTAGGTAGATCTTTTTCCGTCGTTTCTCCTTGAACTTTCAGGACTCATTGGACAAAATTTAACCTTTGTTCAATCAAGTTAAAAGGTTTGCTCTGGCTAAAAGATTTGCTTTGTCTGAATTCTCAGTTTTTTTTTCCCACAAGATCACACATGAACTGCAGGAGGGTGCTTCCTTTTAAAACACATTTATTGCAGCCATAAGAGTGTGCAAAAGTTGTCTCAAAGAGGTCAACAACGTCTTGTTGTGGTTTTAAAAATAGAGTCTGAAAACTGCTTTATATGAGGGGGGG